CGCCGCACCTGCGCTCTGCGCTTGCGCCGCCGCCGCCCACCCGCCCCGGGCTACGGTGAGTCGTGGGGGCGGCTCCGCACTGCGGGGGCCAAGGGCGGGGGCTTCCCGGGAGCTGCGGCCCCGGCCCCGGCCCCAGCCCCACTCCGCCGCGGGAGGGAAGGGGAAGGGGAGGGGGGCAGCTGCGGCCGGGCCTGAAATTCCTCCTCGCTGCTGGGTCGGCCGCGGGAGACCTGGGCTCTGCCCCAGCCCATAAAAATTGGGGGGTTAGGCCCCCAAATCCTAGGGGGTTTGCTCCAAAATATTGGGGTTTTAGCCCCAAAATACTGTGGTTTCAGTCCACAAAAACTGGGGGTTCACCCCCCCAATACTCCAATTTTTGCACCAAAATACTGCCGTTTTAGCCCCCAAAACTGGGGTTTTAGCCCATAATACTGCAGTTTAAACTCCCAAAATACTGCAGCTCCATTCCCCAAAAACTGGGGGGCTAGCCCCTAAAATAGTGGGGTTTTAGGCCCCAAAATCTTGCCGCTTCATTCCACAGTAACTGAGGGGTCAGCCCCCCAAATACGCCAGTTTTAGCCCCCCAAATCCTGCAGGTTTCTGTGGTGCGGTGGACACGCAGTGCCTCCTGACTTGGTGGCGGCCCAGCCCATCGTCCCTGGGCAGGGAGCTCTGCGGGGCGCTGGTCGTGGGACCGCAGGGGCGGGGGTCTGCGGCAGGGGGGTTTCGGCTGCTGTGGGCCGGTCTACCTACCTTGGATGCTGCCATTTGCTACTGGCTCACTTGCTTTCTCCGGACTTAGGAAAGCTAGTGGCAAACAGCCCCTGGGAATTTTTGAAGCCAGCTGTAAACCCCGGTACCCCGGGGTTGTTTGCCTAGCTTCGACATTGCTGTTGTATGCACTCTACACGCATGTAGATTGTAGAGTGCATGTGCATGGACAGGCGTGTGTATACACGTGGATAATACAGAACGAGCCCTCTGTCAGCTCTTCAGCCCTTTGTAAGGATGTTTCATTTTGCGTCGTGAACATGAGAAGATTTAGTAGCTCTGTCTTTATTCACGGTGGTGGGGAAAGTTCAGACACATTCGTCTTCCTGAATCTCTGTTTGAAAAAGTGACGCTGTCGATTAATTTGTCAATGACACATGGTGACGTTTTTGGTATATGATAACTTGCTGTAAGATCAGTGACCCGGCAGCTTAATATTGATGCTTTAAGGGACCGTTCGGGCATCATCAGGTTGGAGACTCTCTGATTTCCCATCGGTGAAGTTAAGCCGGGTTTAGGAGTTGAAGGGGGCGGCTGAAGGTCTGAAAAGAAGGAAGGCGCTGGGGTGGGAGGGAAGTTTTAGAGGAGCTGAAGTAATTGAGGTCTGGCTCTCTTATTTAAGCTTTTTATGTCTGTTTTACTGCAACGTACAAAAAAGTGCTTGTTCCACATCATTATTCTTACTGCATCGCATAAGCACATAGGTGTCTTGCAAACATTAGACACCTTTTGTAGACTCTTCTCTGCTTTAGGTGCTGGTAATGTATTATGATAAGTGAATACAACAAGCACAAGCAATATTGTTAGACTACAAAGTGCAGCAGCTCCGGCAATGCCATTGAAAACGGTGGTGCTGAATGATGCAGCCTCAGAGCATGGGTGGAGTTAAAGTGGGGAGGCTGCCCTTTGTTTGGAGAAGAAATCTTATCATTCAGGCTGCAGAATCAGGACTCTATTGATTTCCTTTGCATCTGCAGGATGCCATCTGAGCTGTCGTCTGATCGCGTCTTGTGTCTTCATCTGGCATAATATTCTAAAGAGCAAAATCAGGTGAATGATTTATTTGCTACTCTTGAATTTTTTTTGTTCTGCTGTTTTGCTCTTGCGTCCAATGTCAGGCTCTCGGAGCAGCTTTGCCTCCATTTGCAGGAACCAGCACTCCTCTCTAATGAACCCACAGCTAACTACAGATGCCGAAGCATTGGTTACTGCATGGTATTAAAACTGTTCCCCTCCCTGGCAAGAGGAGGGAGCAATGCATCAGTACAGCAGTTAGTAATCATCAGCATCTATACGTGACCCTTGTCTCCAAAAATTACCTTGTAGGGATGACACTTGCAATATTTATGTGCCTTGGCTAGCTGGAGAAGTCGGTTGATTATGTGATACTGAGCCTGGGGTAGGCACTTCAAAGTAATCATGTGTATGTTATATTATGCTATATTATGTTATACTAGTACTAATATGCTAAGAAAAGACAGCTATATAAGAACATATTGTAAAGGAGTTTATTCCGTATCTTTAACTAGTACCAGTATGCTAAGAAAAAGCAGCTATATAAGAACATATTGTATAGGAGTTTACTCCATACCTTTAATTGTGTTTGGGGCATCATCTCTCATTTAGTGAAGTTGATTGTAAAACTCCCATCAAGTTATTCCCCTGGACACCTGCAGTACTGTTTCCAGTTTTGGGCACTACAGAAAGGATGTGGACAAATTAGAGAGAGTCCAGCAGACAGCAACAAAAATGGTTCAGGGGCTAGGAAACATGACTGATGAGGAGAGGCTGAGGGAATTGGGCTTATTCAGTCTGGGAAAGAGAAGACTGAGAGGGGCTTTAATAGCAGCCTTCAACTCCCTGCGGGGGGTTGCAAAGAGGATGGAGCTGGACTGTTCTCAGCGGTGGCAGACGACAGAACAAAGAGCAATGGGCTCGAGTTGCAGCAAGGGAAGTTGAGGTTAGATATTAGGAAACACTTTCTCCCTAGGAGGGTAGTAAAGCATTGGAACGGGTTACCGAGAGAGGTGGTGGAAGCTCCATCCTTGGAGGTGTTTAAGACCCAGCTTGACAAAGCTTTGCTGGGATGATCTAGTTGGGGCTGGTCCTGCTTTGAGCAGGGGGTTGGACTAGATGTGACCTTCTGAGGTCCCTTCCCACCCTTATTATTTATGATTCTGAGTTAACTGAGGTAAGAAATAAGCCTTTAAGATGATAGATTAGAAATGGAACAGAGAGCCATACAGTTCTGAAAGCTGTCTGCTAGCACTAAATATGGATTTTAGCTAAAAAAGAGGCAGACAAGTGACGCGGGTAGCAGGATATGTCTTGCTTTCACATTGCTCATTATTCATTCCCAAGGCAGACTCCTTTGCCTTCAGTGTATCTGCAGTTATCTTGTTTCTGCAGTAGTTGATCTAATCTAGAGCCAAACATCCTGTCTCTGGACACAACTTATTCAGAAGACACAATATTTGCAAGGTAGGCCAGAAAACAAAATGAATGTTTATGGTGAGAACTGACATGCTCTGTGCTTTTTAAAAACAGAAGAAAATGCTTGAGTTTGAAATTTTGTCAGATGCTTGCTGACAGGTAGTGGGGCAGCTTCCTGCAGCTCTAAAGATGGAAAATCTTGTTGCATATAATTGATATCCTAAAAGAGTACATTTTTTTTGTCTGTGACTTAAATTATTCAAAAGTCTGAAAGCTGGAGTTCAAGGCCAAAGCTGTTAAAAGCCCTGAAACATAAAAAGTGCCAAAAAATGATGTACCTTCAGTAACACTGCAATGTCTGTTTTGGGGGTAATAGAGCTTGGGAATAACTTTACAGAAGCTACTGTATTCTAGTTTAAGATGTGCTGTCTTTGTGGTAGAGATCAGATGCTCAGAAAACTTGATTTAATTTTGCTCTTCACTCTTATAAACCTGATCCTACTCAATCAGAAGTGCAGGTGTATGCTCTTGGATCTCATTCTGTATGCTTTTTACAAGTACTTAGTCTAGTAGATCTCCAGGGCTACACAGACCAGTGACTATGCTTGGAGTTAGTAAGGGGAGTAGAGCTGTAATGGCATATGGCTACACTGATGACTACTTACGTTTGCTCATTTGTTAATAATGCCTTTATTTAAAAAATACAATTAAGGAAGGAACACCAGCAGAATGATAACATCCCTGCTGTTTGTCCTCTGCATCCTTTGCTTTTAAACCCTTGTTTTGAGCAGAACGAATGAAGATACAAACATTGATACATTAGCCTGTCATTGGAAGTCATTAGTCTAGAACAGTCCCATCTCCAGCTATGAAACAGTTTAACAAGAAAATGAGAGCAGTAAAATACTTCCCATTCATGTTTGTAGAGCCAAAATGCTGCACGTTATAGGACTTCCCTGGAAATTATCACAAAGGAGCTGAACGTAGGAACGACTGAATTCCTGCTTTTTTGCCTGAAACATCATTGTAATCCAGAGAGTGGCTGTATCTTGAGATCTGTGCTCTACTGCTGAGAGTAAACTATTGCTCAGCCTGTGCAAGTACAGTGGTTGAAGGCAATCAGGCCTGTAGTTTAGGTTGAAGAGCTGCACAGGTCCAGTGTGTGTGCTTGTCGGTAGGGGTAGGGCTATTTTTCCAAGGTACACAATATCCACGTTCAGGGAAAAGTAAAGGCAAAACTAGTCTTAACGAAGCACTGAGATCAAAAAATCAAGTGTCCAGAATCAGGGCATTCCAGAGATGACGACAGATCCTTTTTCCTCTTTTGTTTCCTACAAGACCAACACCAGGAGCTCTGTTTAAAATAATATGGAAAGGACTTAATGAGGCACTGCTGTCAATGAAAAGCCTTGGAGCTTTGTCTCTCTCGCTCTCTCGCTTTTAATGGCATGTGTCTCCAAACTCAGGTACAGAAGTATGACACTACACATGCACTTTAATGCACAGTAGCCTATTTTACTGCCCATTAAGGCATCACATAAAAATCTGTGCTGTTATGCTAATTCACAGTAAAATAGGCTACTGAGCATTAAACATCACTTTAAAAGGGCGTGCATTCGTTACTGCTCATGAAGGAACATAATGCACGTTTATTTAGTACCTCACATTAGAGATACTAAATTTAATACGCATTAGGAAAAGTGCCTTAATGCTTGTGCAGATGTGCCCAATATGTTCTTGTGAGGGGAAGAATTGTCTTCTAAATAACCTGGGGCTAAATTGTGCTTTAACTGAAGTCAGTGGGAGTTCTGTTGACTTCAACAGAAGTAGGAGGAAGCCCATCTTTACAAACTTGCCCACTAACACTCTTGAATTTAAGCTGTAGGTGGTATTGAGTACCCCTTCTTCCATTCCTTTGCCTACATGAATTGCCTACAGTAGAGTAACATAAGCTAGCCTGCTGAAATGCTGGACAGACTGAACTGCAGTCAATCCAGAAAGCAAAGCTCGCCCTTCCTGTTGCTTTTCTATAGCTTTGCTAGACATTGCACTGGAATAACAAAGAAATCTTGAAGGATATGACACTTCCAGGGAATGGCTCTGGTGCTGAAAGAGGAAGAAAAAACTCACTTGAAACGCCTAAGCAGAATTAAACTGAAACATTATCATTATTAGTGTGTCAAAAATGGCTCTGTTTTTCATGGAGCAAGTGTAGAAATTATTCATCTCTCAAACCTTTGTAAAGGAAATCAGCTTCACCAAAGCACTGACTGACATCCTCCCACCCCAAATTGGATCTGTTCTTAAGGCTTTGAAACGAAGCCTGACTGAAGTGAACTTTTTCCCCGACCAGCTGTATGCCCAGGTTACTGGGTGCCACAGTGATGGCTGTGGTCTGCATACCTGTGTGGACGCAGACCATGACCCATCTCTAGCATTCCTGATTGGCTTCTCTGTGGGGCACTCCAGTATTGGTGGGTGCTGGACATATGTGCTAAAGTGTTGTTTTTTCTGACTGCTTGCATCACTTCCAGTCTGATTTTAGTGCAGTGTCTTTGGGCCTGACATTAGTTTCAAGAATGAGCCCAATAACTTCCTGCCCGTGACTTGACGGCCTTACAGGTCCTTTCCGGTTCTATGACTGTATGATTTCATTGACTCTGTTTGAATCAGTCTTTAGAGTCATCACGGTTTAAGGTAAATTGTGTCAGATTTATATGAAGCTGATGCATTGTGTGGACAAAGTACCAGGTTGCTCATTTTCCCCTCACGTTTTGAGCATCTAGAAACATTAAAGAATTGTCCCCGAGACTGCCTCCTCTTAATTATTCTTCCTGCTGATGTGCTGGTTACTGTCACAGTAACCAAAAATAACTCAGCAGTGATGTTAAAACCTGTACTTTCTCAGGGACGTTCAGAGGTCAGCTAAAGAGAGACTGTAGAAGTCTCTGTCTGGAAAATAGGAGTGGGGAGGGGAATTGCAAGGAAAAAGTGTTAGAAATAGCAGTTCCTGAACATTTAAGATACAAAACAATAATTTGCAGGGAGGGAAAAGGATCATAATGCATCTGTTTTCTTTCTTCTCGCTTTCCCTCTTTCAAGAGACTATAATTTGTCATTAAGTAAATGACAAGGCCTTGAGAAATGAGAGTCCATGACTGACAAATCATTGGTGGCATACAGGTACAACTGTAGGGGTATATCTCAATCGCATACAGGGTATGAGAAGGGAAAGAAGTGTTAGCTTAATAGGGAGTATCTAATATGTTTTTTAGCAACTCTGAAGGAAGGGGAAACACTGACACATTCAGCAGGAGACTGTGTTGGGCCTATTCAAAGGTCAGGGGAGCAAGAGCAAATATGTGTCGCATCATATTTAATCAACTGAACCATGTTAAATTTCCAGTAATACAAAGTCAGTTTGGTGACAGGAAGATATTTGTTGCCTTTTGAAATGGGAATCGAATGGAAATTTGGAAGAGTCTTCAACAGGGATTCTGTGATTCCTCTCTCTCGACGACTTCCTAGCACTGGATTTGCTACGAAACTCGGGACATGACTCTGGTTGCTTCTGGTCTCTTTGATTGGCCAGTGGTTCGCTGTCAGCTAAGAGGAAA